TTCAATAAATGTTATTTATAGTCTTTCACTTTTAAAAAAAAATCAGCACATAAGTATTTTAATCTCTTTCTGGCATATTGTTAGGGTCTTAGTAATATTAGCCGAGGACGATACTGAGCATACTTTCTTCAACTGCGAATGATAGCAGTTATACTAATAATACTAATGAGATGATAGGAAAAAAACACTACTTGCAGAATATGTAGGTCAAAATCACAAAATTCATCTGAAATATGCTAAGGAAAAAAAAGAAAAACCTGGACGCAAATTAATCTAAAATGACTTTTAGGACGCAGCATGTAGGTTTTACGAGAAACATATGGCATGGATAACCGACTTATAAGGGATTCTCACTGAAGTAATGTAGAACCGGTGCCGGTAGGAAATATTCCGAAGGAGAGATAGAAAGCGAAGGGTCTTAGTGACTTTAATTAATTTTCGTCAATTGCTGCTTATTAAGCTGACTATCGTCTGACTAAAAAGTATGCAAATAGTAATTTTTTCTTCTTTTTTATAAATCGAAGAAAAAAATAAGTAAATCATTATTATTGTATCTTAATAAATCTGAAAATAGAATAACTATTCTATAAACCGAATAGATTATAACTTTTGAAAAATATATAATTAGAAAATAAATATACATGACTTCAGTTCTTGTTTTTATTATATATTTTCATTTGTTTGTAATTTTTTTTTTAATTTATTTTTTTGTTCACATCATAAAATTTGGTTATATATAAATTTTCATATATATAAATCCATCATAAGTGCATGCACATATCGTTTAGTAACAGAGCTTTACAGTGGATTATTTGCAATATTTTTTTTAGAAATGGCACTGAAGGTTATATACCTTTATAAAAATATTAAATAGCATCATACATATTTCATCTCTAAAGACTTCAATTTACAAAATAAGTATGGAAATATGAAATTTTATTTAAAATGCTTCAGGGAAAAATCAAGTGTATCAAATTCATTCCATTCAAGCAAGGTTTGAAGTGAAGTACAATTTATACAATTTTTTGAAAATTTTGCGTAACAAATATGTTATGTACTCAGTTTCAGGTTTCGAATCAGTGAATATCAAAATATTCTTGATATACGGACACATACTTAAATGCAGGGCATATTCTATAAACATATTTTTAACACAAAATTCTTTGTATTGAAAATATTAAAAAGTTGAATAGATGCATTTTGCATGAACTTACATCTGTAAAGCGGATTTCTATCAAGAATTGCTAAATAAACTGCATCTTTTTAAGGATCCAACAATTTATTTTTTTTTTATTGAAGCAATAGATTTAATTTAATTTCAATATTTGAAAGAATTTAATAATTTCAACAGTTAAGAAAATTGTAAAAAATAAAAAAATTATTGAGTGATAAAATATACTCTAAGTAAAAATTAAATGGAATTTATAAATTGAATAAATGCATTTCTTTGGTGTGTTTACATCAGCTGTTTGGGCAAATTTACTATTGGCTTTATCTAGTTTATTTAGATCAGCTATTTCAGTAATTAGTAACTTGAGTTATTTGAATATTCTACAATCATACAAAGTCATCACAATGAAAAAGTGAAAAAATATTTGACTTATTGAATGCGATCAATAAACAACGTCGTACTTACTTGACATGGTCCCGTGGCACAGTGTGACAAAACACAAAATTAGGCGGTCATAATTCGATATTTTCGGAACCAGTAGAGATATTGATATGAATTTTTCCTAAAATATAGTTTTTGAGTTGGTCTTTCTTTTAAATTTAATTTGAGCCCAATCGGCCTGCCGGAACTACCCGAAATTTTTGCCCAAACATGGGGATTTTATCGTGGTCCCAAGATTACTTAAAAACTATGATAGGTAGAAAGCTGAATTTTGGTGTCCGGAAAACTTACGTTATTATCTAGATTTCAACATTTTTTTAAGGTTTTCCGCCCACTGCCACACCCACCCCCCATACAAAATTTTCATATTAAATCATTTATTATCGTTAAAAATACTTTTTGCACTTATTGGGCTGCATATATACGTGACTTATATAGCAACACAACTCTATGCAAAAAATGGGCGTGATCCGCCCATTAGTTCCTAAGTTATTTGCAGTTTATGCAACTTTAGCGAAATTATGATTTCGTAAAAATTTAACCAACTTTAAACCCTTATAGCTTTTTTACTATTTATTCAAAAATGATCATTTTTAATATTTTTTAAAGCTTGCGATATTGTTATTCATTATGTGTAAAAAAATTTCAATTTTAATTATCAATAAAATTTTATTAGCGAAATTGCACAAAAAGTCAGCATCTTTTTCATGGCCATTTTCACTTCTATCGGCGATACCCAAAAAATGTATCCGAGTTTTTTCATGAAATTTTTCCTACTAATAGCCAAATAGTTACACTTTACAACAAATAAAAAATTGGCCTGCGCACTCTATGTTTTACACCTATTTCAGGCCTCAGAATCCAGCGAAAAATTACGAAAAATATTACCTTCAATAAACCCCATTTATTTCAACAAAAAATTCAATAAGTAATAACAAAAAGACATTTAAAATTTTATAAATATTTAATTTATTTATATTTCAAATTTCAACTAAATCGGTTGAAGAATAACGAAGTTATAACACATTATGTTCAGACGCCTGACCGGAAGTGTTCATATTTCAAATACGCATTACTTGCTTGTGTAAAATTGAATAACTGTACATTCAAGGTGAAACGCTGTGATCATACTTCCGGTCAGGCGTCTGAACATAATGTGTTATAACTTCGGTATTCTTCAACCGATTTAGTTGAAATTTGAAATATAAATAAATTAAATATTTATAAAATTATAAATGTCTTTTTGTTATTACTCATTGAATTTGTTGTTGAAATAAATGGGGTTTATTGAAGGCCTGAAATAGGTGTAAAACATAGAGTGCGCAGGCCAATTTTTGTTTTATTGTAAAGTGTAACTATTTGGCTATTAATAGGAAAAATTTCATGAAAAAACTCGGATACATTTTTTGGGTATCGCCGATAGAAGTGAAAATGGCCATGAAAAAAATGCTGACTTTTTGTGCAATTTCGCTAATAAAATTTTATTGATAATTAAAATTGAAATTTTTTTTACACATTATGAATAACAATATCGTAAGCTTTAAAAAAAATTAAAAATGATCATTTTTGAATAAATAGTAAAAAAACTATAAGGGTTTAAAGTTGGTTAAATTTTTACGAAATCATAATTTCGCTAAAGTTGCATAAACTGCAAATAACTTAGGAACTAATGGGCGGATCACGCCCATTTTTTGCATAGAGTTGTGTTGCTATGTAAGTCACGTATATATGTAGTCCAATAAGTGCAAAAAGTATTTTTAACGATAATAAATGATTTAATATGAAAATTTTGTATGGGGGGTGGGTGTGGCAGTGGGCGGAAAACCTTAAAAAAATGTTGAAATCTAGATAATAACGTAAGTTTTCCGGACACCAAAATTCAGCTTTCTACCTATCATAGTTTTTAAGTAATCTTGGGACCACGATAAAATCCCCATGTTTGGGCAAAAATTTCGGGTAGTTCCGGCAGGCCGATTGGGCTCAAATTAAATTTAAAAGAAAGACCAACTCAAAAACTATATTTTAGGAAAATTTCATATCAATATCTGTACTGGTTCCGAAAATATCGAATTATGACCGCCTAATTTTGTGTTTTGTCACACTATGCGTGGGTTTCATTTCTACTCTGCAAATGAAATTTCTAGTTTGAAAATTTTTTTTTGATTCAATTTGGAGAAAATGTGAAAAACTATTTCTCAACTAATCTACGAAAAATGTATGGAGCATTAGGTTAATCGTTAATACTCGATTGAGAATATTTTGAAGACAATTTTTTTGTTATTTTTGTTTTTAATATATTAATATTATTATTTTGGGAAATCTCAAATCGCATCTTAAAGAACTATTGTGCCACTTATTCAGTAATACCAGAAACTCGCTCGTTCAAAAATGATTTTTTAATGATCTTACAAAGAATTGAATAATTTTAAGATCGTGGATTAAGATTGCATCTTGGATAGATGAATGTGCGCTAACTTTTTCCATACGATCCGAAACTTTCTACAAAATATTCACTAGTCAGACTGCATTAGTGTTTAGAAGTGGCGAATAATGCCTTTCATTGGCGTAAGGCAACAGTTCAATTGCGACTATAAAAATTATGTTTATCAATCTCAATAGAACTGAACGCAGATTTCCAAGCTCACCATGTACTTAAAACTTTTATTCTCGCTTTTATTTGTAGAATGAAAAATTTTTTATTTAGTTAAGGTCGGTTAGAAACACAAAATACAGTCATAGTGAAATTGTTCTCCACTACTGGGAGCCAATATCCGGTATATTTTTTAGTCTATTAACTTCTAATTTAACATATTCTTGTCAAACATCAACTTTTCAAATTAAAGATGAGTTTATATGACGAACCAGCGGATATTGTGAAATGTAGAGTGATATTTCTATAAATATTTATCCTGCTACGAAACTAGTCCAACTCTTCAAGCCAGCTTTTAATGCACTGAACTAGGTATGCAAACACCAGCATTTAAAAATGAGTTTAAATAACATTGCGGATATAGTAAAATGCAGAATGATATGTCCCTATATCTTACCTAGGACACTAATCAAGATATTCCATTCAGCTCTCGTTATACTGAATAAAATCTGGGATTAGGATATCTATAAAGTTTGTTACTCTATATTTTAAATATATTGAATTGTTTTATTAAAATCACTGCTGTAATTTATTATTATTTTGCCTTATTATGACGGATTGTACTTTAAACAAAAATAAAATATTTTTTATGACTATGTATATGAGAAAATTTTTTAAGGATCTATTAAATAATAATTTTTTTGTTTTTATAGAACCTAAATTAGTGTGATAAACTAAAAAATAAAAATAACAGTTTAATATTATTATATCGTATTATATAATACCATAGAATTTTTATATTTGCATATTAGACATTATCAAATCGATTTTATTTGAAAGTATTATTTATAAAATATAAAGCTGCAGCAATGATTTTGTTAGTAGATTCTCCTGGGTTTCTTTTTGGTAGTAGTTGCTTGCATAGCCACCTGTTGTTTGGAGGGATCAAGTTGTTCAACTAAAATTACAAATTCATCAGTTGGTGCAATCAAAAACTCATAGTTTTTAGTGGCTATACGAAGGAAGCGTAACTCATCAATTGGATTCACTTCACGTACAACGTTACGTGCAAGACAAACTAGCATATCACAAATATTAGCAGCTAAATCATCGGTGGTATCATGGTAGGTCGAGTACTCTGCTTCAGCAGTTTTAATATTGTAGATTAAGCAACCTTTAGCCTTCTGCATAATACGCTGTGTAGTGGGCATATGCTTACGAACCAGAGACGTCTATATTAAAGATAGTTATAAGCTTTTAAATTTTAGTTTTTATGTCTACAATTTAAGTTTATATTGAAGGCATACTTACAAAGAAGTCTTCCTCAGGTAAACCAAGTGTTTCCTCCATTTTTGTTTATATACCAAATACGTAAATATTTCAAAAAAAAACTTTGATTTTTGTTTAAAAAACAATTGTATATCTAATAAATATCTTACTTTTTTTCTGAAATCTAGGGAAGTATGATTGAAATTAATTTTATTAACTTTGACAGGTGAATAAATCATAGTATTAGCAACAGAATTTATTTACACAATACAATATTTGCACAATCGTTGTGTTTATATGGTAGTGTATACTATCAGAAACATTCCAGAGAAAGAACATTTGTTATGGTAAAAGTTAGGCATATACTTATGACTCAATATTGGTCAATGCTATACGTTATGATTAGGGAATTCTAAAATTATCTTGGAAAATTATCTTGATTGTATTTATATCTTCCAGAACTTTAGTGATGCATTATCTAAAGCTAATACTATCACATTGGAAGTACATTTTTGAGAATCTGAGAAACGTGTCTTTATAGAATTATAACTAAAACAATATTGTGATATCCTCATGTCACTATTTTGTTTTTTAAAATTAAATAAACATATTATTATTGCAACAAAACCAACATATATTGTAATACTACTATATTAAAAATAAAACATTTGTTCTAAATACCAGTGATTTGCGGTAAATACTATTAAAATTACTATAAAGCCCTAAGTAATAAATTGTTTAATTAACTATTAAATAAATATAGTTTCTATAGATACATTGGGTTTCTAAGAATTATTTTTAAGTAGATACCATAATTTTCCATTGAAATTTTATATTTTATCATAAAATTTTCAAATCTCTTTCAATATTTTTACCATCATAAGTAAAAGATATTTACAAATGAAATATCATGTTGAAATATATTGAAAAGCTGGATGTATCATATAAGTTACCATTATAAATAAATAAACATGTCATTTGAAGTTATTTAACTTATTAAAAACATAGCTTCTCCTACTGCTTTTATTTAGTTACTTACTTAAGAAAGACATAAAATCATAAGGCCTCAACTATTTCTCTAAATCTAACTCTATTGCCTGCTTTTCCCGCAATTTAATTTTAGAAGTACTGTGCGTCTTTAAGCTTGTAGTCCACGGTTCTTGCCACGTCTTAGCTGGGGCTTCTTTCCTAAACGTGTAGCCAATCCACTGCTTTTATTTATTAGATTTTTTTAACTATAAAGTTAAACTTAAACTTAATATATAACTGCTAATTGACTTCTGTGTGATTTTAAAATTAGAATACAAACTGCAAGTGTTAATTTGTGTAAACATAATTTAAAATAAAATAAATAAATAGAAAAAAAAAAACAACTTTGGCAACGAAATCAACCTCAAGCTATTTTAACTATTTGTCGCTTGTTTATTTTCATTTCATTCGGTATTGTAGCACACATTTTTAAGTACAAGCATTCACTCATTCATATTTGCTTTATATATATGCGATTAATAAACTTAAATACATTTCTCTTCATACGATTATGAGTATTAAACTCGATTTTAGATAAAAATATTTCCTAACTTCTTGCATATTATTTTTTTCTTAATTTTTACCATTAATACAAATATGAAATTACTTATAAAATAGATAATTATACTAAATGATAGGTGGTATAATTGCAGCAATAAATTATATATTAAATTATCAAAATAGTTTATTTGGCAAAGAATTTTTGTATATTCAAGTATTCAGCTTAATAAAAAATTACTGACAAATTATTCGTTTTTAAGTTCAAATATTTAAAGAACTCATGTGCATGAGTATCTAATGTCATGAGCACATAACTTATTTTATGTACTCGTATTTAACTATTTAACTCATTTCAATTATAATTTGAGATCTTTTGGTTTAAGTTTTGATTTGGGTAAAATGAGAACCCATTTCATTGCTCATTAAGAGTAACACTGAAGTAGTCACGAGAATCATTTAACGTTTAATTATAGAATTTTTCTTTTAAATCACTGTACCCTTTAGTATATATTTTACTTTCTTTGTTTTATCCAATTTTATAAAAAATTAAAAAAATAATTTGCTTGAAATGTACTGCATCTACAAGTAAATGGCATTATGAAGTAGTGGAAACACTCCAAAATTTTTCTTCCACTTTATTTTTTTTAGTTAAGTTTGGTTAAATTGAAGAAAATCTATAAAATTCCAAACATAAATCAGTAAATTAATTAAAAAGGAATTACTGCTCGACACAATGGGAAACAGTCAATTAAGGAAAGAAAGCGATAAATAACGAAATTGCTTCAAACAACTTAGCAGTGAAAATGATATAATTAAGATACGTGACATTAAATAAATCAAATATCGAATAAGACAGAAGCAATTTAATTTGAAAAAAATTTAATTATAAGGAAAAAATTATTTGAAGTTTATGTATTATTTTAATGTATATTTTATTCACATGTAGTAATTTTTAAATTGTTGCATTAGTTATTAATTTAATTACGAATGTTTAAAGAAATATCCAAATAGAAAAACAATCAAAAAGTCTGACAACCAAGTGGGTTTACTGGGTCTAAAGTTGATCAAAATTTTGTCAGATATGCTATACAACTACTTATAATTCGCAAATGAATTATGACTAAGTAACCATGTCATACTGTGAAGGAGTTTAAAGGACAGAAAAAGACTGACTATCTCGCCAAATGAGGAGTCCAACTTTAATTAAAAGGTTATTCTATTTTTAGGCGCATGGTCACATGGTAGAAAAATATGGATACTTCGGAAAACCTATCTTTTTAAAACTATTGAATGAAGTGAAAAGTTGACTTAAAACTAGTTGACTTAAAACAGTTATTGGTAGACTTTTTACGCTAAGGATATGAAAACTCTTATCAGATATCTGGCAGAGCATAGTAAACAATTTCCCTTTTCGACAGAAAAATATATAAATTTGGAAATTGATTTCTAATAAACAGATAAATATTTATCTGTTATAGATAAATATGTATCTGTTTATTCATAACAAGTTATCTGTTATAGATAAATATTTATCTGTTTATTCATAACAAGTTTACTGAAAAACGCAACTTTTAAATCCAAAAATTTTTTATTAAATTCTTTAAACCTCAATTATTAAACCTCAATCCGTTATTTCCAAAGACTCAAATGCATAGAAAACAAATTTTAACTCCACAATCTTAAATCAATCTGAACCGTTAAATAGTCAAGAAAGATACTTGTATCGCACAATATTATGCTCCATAATATTGTTCCACTGCCACCGCCCTATATCGTTGCATCCTTAGAATGGTCTTAACGGTAGATCTTTTTTGCTTAACAACTAACTAGGATTGATGGCTTTATATTTTGTAAATTTATTTGGAATAATGTTAGCATCAAATTGTTAGTGCCAGTAGCAATATAAGTAAGTTAGCATCTCTAGTCCCCAGAGATGCTAACTAAAAAGTTTATCTAATATTTTGTTATATTACGCATAACTACCACATTGCGTTTCTGTAGAAATGAATTTACTTTTTAAATGTGACATAAAAATAGGTAAACTATTACTTTCTTTACTTAATATTATTAAAAATTATAATATTTTGGCATTTAGGCAAATTGTTGCGTATTATGTATGCAAGTATGTAATAAAAACTATCTTACATTACAACATGAAAGATAAAAAAGTCTGAGATTTTCTATTAAATTATTTAGCTTAAACAATTAAATTGCATCAAATCTATAGTTTCTCTTTTAAATTCCCTTTAATGTTCTTAGTTCGACCATTAAAACCCACATGCTTACGCTTAAATTAACCTTATAAAGTATCGTATATGCTATGCATTGCTAACGAAACATACTGGTAAACTGTTCCTGTGCAATAGCAGGACAACATTTGGGAAGCTTTTATCCTGCAGGTGCATTAAGTGCACTATTCTCTACTAAACCGTAGAGGTAAATTGTTTTTGAGTAAAACAGTTAGTACGAGTATCTGCGTGTGAACTACATACCATGTACTTACCTGAAAATTAATTCGTATGAATTTAGTTTATATGCTTTGAGGCATAAATACAAAGTAGAACATTTCTCTAGGCATACATACATTCGAAGTATATTTTGTAAAATTTTAAATTTCTTATTTAATTAAGAAAATTATTCTTTAAATTATTCTTATTTAATAACAAAAAAAAATTAATTACAACTATTTAAATATAAAAAACTAGTATCGTCAACCAAACATTCATTTAAAATAAAAATTTATAGTAATTTAAAACTCTTCAACTATATTTCTATTTAAATATGCGGATAGTTGTTCATTCTAAGATATAGAAATTAAACTCGAAAAAAAATAAAAGTCAATAATGTGGAAATAGAGTGGACGGACAATGTTAAAAATTTAGGTCTAGCTTTTGACAGAAGATACTATAAGAGCCAAGATAATGATGGTTAGATAATATAAGAGCCAAGAAGCTGACTTGGAATATAACTCTAAATGCTCTTAAACTATTAACATTAGAAAAATTGAGTATCAAAGATAATATTCTTTTTTATAAGCAAATAATTAGAACGTAACTTTATCTATTAACTTTATGGCTGCGTTACTTATGTCAATGCTGTTCCATTCACCATTAGAAAATTCCAAATATATCAGATTATTATACTGAGATATATGTTAAAAGTGCCACTGTACACCAGAAATGAAGACATTTACAATGATTTAAGTGTCACGAGAGTGCAAAAGTATATCACAAACAGAGTATTGAAATTGTTCGATTTTGCGATAGCGCACACTAATTCGAAATTGCACTCTCTCAAATCTAATGCTATATATATTCTCTCAGGAAGATATGTTGGGCTTTAAACTATACTTCGATAAAATAAAATTATTCAACTAAGCAACTTATTATCAGAATTCACAAAGCTCTTATTACAGTAGATCATCTAAATGGTCACAGACACTATTGAGAAAAAGTACCTTAGACACTAACTCGCGTTTGATCAAGCAAAGACGAAGAAGATGAATAGGTTCTTTTGTCATTTTTAATTTTAGAAATAAAATTAAAATAACTAATTTTTATAAATAATATATTTATTTCCAACATCGAAACAATTATCTACTCTTATACTAAACAGACAGACATACAAGTGGATGTACCTGAATTGATTTTTTTAATCACTGTTAACAAGTGTACATTTGTAATAGGTTCATAAGAGGGTACTCATAGACATATATACTTCTTATATACTTTACATATTATTAACTTTTGAAAAAAATTAAAAATTTCTTCTATTCATACTTTATTTAAGAATCTTAGTAGCCGCAATAATATCACATTACGCATGGAGTTGATGCATCATGTTTAGCATAATACGAGTATATATAATTAATCAAGATACATAACAAATAAAGTTGGCTTTCGATATCCATGACAATCTTAGACTGTATGAGAACTCTAGCTTCCAGACAAACGGACATTTTTAAAACTATTGATCTCATAAAGTTTTTGTAGAAACTGTTACAAAATATTATATTTTTTTTAACATGGAATCTTATATATCCCACATAATATTGCACACATTTCTATAGTGTTTACAAACTTTTCAGTTATATTATTTTTATATCCCGAAAATTAAAAGAAATTAGAAAATTCCTATATAGTAGATAATGACAATAATATAGTGAGTTCTTATTTCAATGGGTAACAACAGAATATGCAAACTGTTCCTTTAAAAGAACGCTTTATATAAAAAAATGATAATTCGGACTAAGCAATGAGAGAGATGTCTTTTTACAAGGACGCCCATTTAACAGAACTTTGACTGTGCAACTAATTGAATGAATGATGTTGTCTTTAGCAATGCCAAACATAAAATACTTTACTTTATATTTTAGTTACTCGTAACAGAATTATACCATTAATAGTTGACATCAAAAGTATCTCGAGATATTGTCATCTTGTGTTACTGAAAAATGTAAATTTTACGTCGAAATATTTCGAACTACATAATATATACTTCTTTTTGATCAAAATGGAATCAGGGTACGTTAACTTAAATTATTGGTTTATCAACTTATATGTATGGTGAGTTCGTTTTAGAAACTCAGTTGCTCTGACAAGTTCAGTGTTTTCGTCTGCTTTTAAGCTTATTGATAGATATGAAATACTATATAACACTTGTTACTCTTGTTAAGAATTATACGGAGAAACTGATATGATAAGTTCTGATATGATAACTGTGTTATAGGTTTTCGAAAAGGCTTCTTTGTCCTTATTGCAATCAATACTTATTATCAGTTAGTCAGCTTGTCAGCTAGTTTAGTGACGTTATTCTACTAAGTGATGATGCTATTTCTACAAATTATGATCAATTTGTTATATCGAATATGCGCTAAAAATTTTTTTATGTAGCTTTGTATGAAAATATGTAGCTGTCAAAAAATTTATTGAAACCATATTTTTATGTGATTTACTTTTCCTATAAATTTTTATACAAACAATGCCAACATAAATATTCAATATTTTATAAAACCGCATCATCGAAAAATTGAAATATTTTTCACTTAAAAGTTATTTAACACGGAATTGCTGGTTCAGCGAAAGTTTTTATTTCAATTAAAATCTTTTTAAAACCGTTTTTATGTGGAAATGTATTATATTCGTATATATAAATATTTCTGAAAATATAAATTGAATTCTGTGGTAATTTTTGAAGGGAAATAACTTTAATGAACTAAAAGGAAAATATTTATTTAATCATTGGTTACTATATAAACACTAAATATATATAAAAATGTATCAAAATATGAATACAAGGTGAGATGAAAAAACTGCAACCAACTTCAGACTGCTGTCATTTCTAAACCGCTCGTCCCACAGCTGTCAGATTTATTCTAGTGACAGCTCATTATATTGTTTACAAGCGCACAAAAGCATTTTGGTGGGAATTTTTCAGAAAAAAAATCTCCGGATGCCAATCCGTTGGACTATTGTGCCTGGGGTATTTTGGAAAGCAAGGTTGGCACTAAAAAATACCAAAGTGTCGATCATCTCAAGCAAGCGCTTCGCCGAGAATGGGACAAAATACCACAGAGCCACTTTCGGGCAGCGTGTGATGGTTTCATTGGCCGTTTGAAGGCCATAGTTCGTGCCAAAGGTGGCCAATTCGAACAATTCTAAACCGATTCTCAAATTTGATGTTATTTCCGACATTTTTTGCTTTCATTCAATAAAATTTAAAAAAAATGAAAAAATTATGGCGTTTTACTTTGTTGCAGTTTTTACATCTCACCTTGTATAATAGTTTAGCATGTTCTATGCTTGAATAATGAAAACTGAAGAATATTTTAGTCGTTATTATTAAAATATTTAAATATATTGTTATGATTAATTTAGTGGTAAATACTTAACTTTACTTTATAACTATTTAAGTCATTCTCATTACTTAATGCCAGTGTTCTTCACAACTGCAGTAACTTATTTTATCTGCAAGTAGGCTTGTATTTAAATTATGAAAATACACAAAATACCTCACAATATAATGAAATCGCCAGATTGATTATATATATGGATATATATTATTAGAGTATTGAATTCTTGCATATGGAGAATTCATTCAAATTTGTCTCCCCCTATTGAGACAAAAATCTAAAACCATCGATAATACCGTTAGTGTTATCGATACTTTGCCAATACTATAGCATATTTCCTTATAAATTATATACGAGTTACTTACTAGTTAGCTGTGGTAAATTTGATACCATTAAATACAATATTATTCACTATTAAATACAATAGTTTCTGATTAAATTTGATATGTAATTCTATATCAAATACTTTAAATAATGAAAATATATATGAATAAATATATATATTCAATTCTCAGTATAGCTAGTACGAATCGTAGAGTAACATTAGAATGATTTCCTCCATATTAAGAGTCTAGATTAGGTTCAATACGCAAAAGAGAATAATGTAAAATAAATAAATAATGCTTTCATAAAAGAATAGTATTGTAATTTAATATTTAAAAATAATTATAATTAATTACTTTAATTATACTACAGCTGGTTTATGATTTCATTTTAATATACCACAGCAAATGAATTTGTTAATGAGTTTTCACAACAAATTAATAGAAAATTAAGTTCAAACATACCTATAAGTCAAATACGGGTTCGGGTCAGTTGGGTAAGGTGCGCTGACTCGGAGCTGAAAATTAAATTGCAGTTTTAAAAAATTATTTACGAATTATTAAATATAAGGAATAAGTCGAAGACCGCTGATGATGGGTATTTGGCAATACTTGAAATAACCAAAAATTCAGCCAAAAATTCAATTAATCAAAAATAATAACAAAATTTGTTGCTGCAGTTTACTACTGTTTGAAACCTCTTTATTGAAGAATAAGTAAAAATAGAAGAAAATAATATAGTAAAATACGTCATATTCAAGCACATACATACTTATGCCCCTTTGTAAATATATTAGAATTATATTTCATAAGGGAGAATTATTTTATTAGTTTAGCTTGTATCGCAGCATATGTTATTATATAAATGTAATCTGTTTTGTTTTTTTTTTAATTTCTGAGTAATAAAATATTTTACTTATACAAATATCGTGTGTGACCAGGAAAAAGCAGAAAATATTGGTAATTTCATTTCATTTCATTTTTCATCGTCAAATTCATTAAATATTTACACACATCTTGTCGGCTTCGTGTTATTGGAAATGTACGCGTGTTTGCCCATTCAACTCTCAACCACTTCACCAATTGCATTTTCCATGCCATGTTCACAAATTGCAAATGTTGCAACAGTGCATCCATGCCACCATTCAATATTGACACTAAAAGCGCTTGTTCTTTCATTTGTGAACAACACGACTGGAGAATATTAAAAGCACCCCTGCGTATACGTAACTTATTCGAGGTTTTTCTTCTTCACAAATAAAATTTTAAATACAATTTACTGACATTTTGCTGTCTTTCGAAATTAATTTTAGTTGCGCCAGTAATGTTGATTATACTCGGCGGATTATATATAAATTTTTACTCATATTGTGAATATATATTAGTTCTACGTGTACGTTTTGTTTGGCTCATCATAAGCTTATACACAAGGTATCTAGATCACACTTGCTTTTAGAACCAGTAAGACTGCATGAAAATGGGTCAAATTATTTACTAAGGACTTATTGCATTAATTTATAAAACTCTGTAATGTAGCCATGCTTTACTGATATTTACGGCATTATTTTTATACTACTAAAAATATAAAAGATTTAATAATATATAGCTTTTTGGATATTATATCTATGAAATTTAACATTTAAAATTCATGGGGAAATATCTTTTCTTATGATAAAAACAGTTAACATTTATTTATTATTAATTTAATTTTTAAAAATATTTTTACACACTATAAATAACTTAGACTAAAAAAAATGAAATCTAATACTATGTTCGGACACACCTTAATTTCGCAAAAATCTTAATTTCATCTTCATTTCAGTGAAATTAAGTTGATTTTTCCATACAAAATTTTAAGGTTAGAATGAAACAAAAGAAAATGGCCTTAATTTCGTTGAAACGAAGGCTGAAATTAAGGAACATTTCAAATGAAACTATGCGTAAGATAAATTGTAAACAAAAGTTAAGATAACGATAAAGTGACATTTGTTTAAATAAATGTTAATGACAGTTGACTTTACTAAAATCGGGAAAATATTTTAAAGAAGTGCAAATTTTTAAATTTGAATACAGAAAAAAAGCTGAAATTGTTATTACTTTAAAATACATTAAATCACAAACCTGAAATCTACTAAAGCTTTTTAAACAACTGGATGACATCCTTTATAGTTATAATAATCAAAATTTCCCAGATACAAATAGTGTTTGAAGTTTGTAATTTCGATTTGTTGACAAAAAACATATGATTTCCTTAATTAGGGGCAGTATGAACACTTTTGAAATTAACTTAATTTCATTTTTACGAAATTAAGAAAATTTGGCTGTATGAATATAGTATAACTGTTTAAAATAACATATGTATTTGGAAATCTTGTCTATAAAATTCTGTTTTTTGAAATTCTCAACATTAAAGAGAAAATAATTAACAGTAATTTTCTTAATGTAGGTTATATTAAGTTTTATGGTGAGTCAGCGATAGATGCCACGTAGGTCACAGATTGGTTTGTTCATTAACCTAGAGATCTTGTTTAAAAACTATCCCCATTCGAATGATTTATTTTATAGAAGATTTCCGGTGATACGTGTATTTTTGATTCAAGACTTACCTGCAACATTTCAATCAGATTATTTTCATTTGATAGTTTTGTTAGACTTATCAGTTAATGAAAGTTGTTTGCGATCTTTAACAAAATGATTCTCCAATAATTGTATTCAAGCTCTTTGCAAGACTGTACAATGGCACATTAGATCAGAGCTTTATAACCCTTGCATTTCCCCTTGCCAAAGGTTGCGAAGACTGTCGACCAGATTACCAATTCTTTTTCGACGCCTAGGTATTAAATAATAATGAAATGCTAAATATTTAATAGTTATGCTCGATAAATTTATGAATGGCTAGATTTTAGTCATTGCTCACCACATTCTCTTGAGAAAAGATGAATATACTTGAACTGCGAAAGATATCTAAAAAATAAATGTATTTAATTTTTATTTTTAATTTTTATTTAATATTAATTTAATAAATACAATATATATCTCCAGTTGTATCTTGAAGTGAAAAAACGCTTTTTTATTTCATTCATATTATTTTTCCTCTTTTAGGTATCGTCGACATAATTTTAATTATTATCCGGAATCACAACATCTTAGTAATATTAATGAGGGGTAAGTTGAGAAATTTTTTATTTTGCAATTTTTTTTTATTAGTTCATTGTATAATAAAAATTAAATCTAAACTACGATAATACTTACGAATATGACTCCAAAAAGTTATCAGCAATATTAATTATACAGCAGTATTGAAATATTTCAATACATTAATATTATAAATCTAAAAGTTAATATCTTTTAATAATGTTTGCTGTAATGGGGCAGCAGCTGGTCCGCACCAGAATGAGTTTCATTCCTAATATTTATATCCACAAATACGAGTACATCCCTTAGTTAATCCTTTTATGTGTTATGATACAAATAAAAGGATTGACGCAATAAGTCAATTAAGTACTCATTATACAATATAATTACAATTACAACTAAGACATGTTCATTAATGTACCTTAATGTGAAGAACAGAAAGCTGATATACATCCAAATAATAAGCCCAGCACTACTTTATGGGTGTGTCACGTATAGCAAACTCTACTATCCAAAAGCTACAAGTTGCTCAAAGTCAGGCTCTCCGAAGGTTCTTTAAAGTACCATGATACATCCGCACGAGTGATATGCTAAGAAACCTTAGAATAGATCCTGCCCTACAGGCTGCCCTATTTAGCACTATCTAATCTCAGAGTAATTACTAACCGCACTGGGCGGTATGCAGATCTTAGATCAATCATTGAATAATCACGAAGATTATCAGGAATACTCAAATTAGTCAGTGAGATGAGCGGGACTCTGCAGAATTCCCCCAGCTATCATAGAGTAAAAGTGCTTAGATGCACTAACTCGGAAAAGGCCTAACATAATAATATATTATAATATGTTAGAAATAGTGTTATTGTATGTGCCAGTATGTACCAAGCCTCCAATCATTCTTAACCCAGTCCAGTGTCAGATGTTCCTCAACCAAGTCATTTGTTTGCTTCCCTTGCCGCATTTGCCTTCGATTCTGTTTTCCACAATCAATTGCAGCAATTCATATATTGGACCTCGGAAGATATGTCCAAAATACCTCGTTTTTCTTATTTTGATAATTTGTACAATAAATATATAGAAATGCAATTCTTAAAATAATATATAATCTATTAACAAAGAGCTATGAAATATTTCTACTTGACACTATTGTTCTCAATAATCAATTTTCATGTCTATTTAGTAATTAATCTTCTCCAAGTCATTCTAAGCCATCCACATCTTTGTCGGTCAGCAGAAGGAGGTTACATTTCATAACACGTATATTAATAATAATAATAGTCATTTCTGTAATGACTGCAATATCAGACTTTTTTCCTTATTATGAGTTTTTTAGATTTTATAATAAAATGTTTTATAATATAATATATTATTTATTATATTTATATTAATACTAGCTGACCCAGCGAACGTTGTTTCCCCTTGCACTTAATTTTCCTGGCGTTCGTTGCGTTGCTCTTGACTTTCATTAGTACGTGTGATTGTATCCTGGTTTCTTACATTTCCATTGTTTTCTGCCGATCTATTTAACCGACGGTTCTAGAGTAATTGTGAATTCGGACTCCGTCGACCAATATTTCCTCCTCGTCCACGAAGACGTAGCATTATTTTTTGTACGTTATTTATATATTTATATATATAATTCTTTTTTTTTTGTGTGTGTTCAAGTGAATTCAACTATAATTTAGATTCACAATTTGATCCACTGGATAACGGTTTTTTAATCATTATACAGTTTTTTGGTATCCATATACATTTATGTTAGACATTTAATGCAACGGCAGTTTTACGATTCATTTTAAAGATTTTAAACTTTTTAAACAAATCAAAGTAAGCATGAATAAATTCTAAATTTCTAATATAAATGTGTATGGATACCAAAAAATAAAAAATTAATTAAAAAGACATTATCCAGTGGGCCAAATTGTGAATCTAAACAATCCTTGAATCCACTTGAACACCCACAAAAAATTTCATCAAAATCGGTTCAGCCGTTTAGGAGGAGTTCACTGTCAACACACGTACAGAAGAATTATATATATAAGATTTTATAATTTATTAAATTAATTAATATATGCTTGATTATTTTATAAAACCATAATACTTCCGAGGAAATATTTTAAGTATACAGGTTATTAACTAAGGAACCAAAGTAATGAACAGATGAAAGTATAGTTTGTTCGGTTGACGATGAAAAGAAAGATGGAGTTTATTAGTTCACATGTATGAGTGGATCAACTGATGTTTATAAAAAAAATATTATAGTGTTGAACTCTAATGTATTTTAAAAACTCTAAAATGCTATTACAACTAAGGCGACTTGAAAATAAGAATAATTTCAAAGAAATTTAACAATATGCATTACGAAAAATTTTATAATTCGTATAAAAATAGAATATTTAAAATATCATAAAACTAAAAAATTATTTCACTATTGTTAAATTAATATATGTTTATAAAAAACATAGTTTGATGCTAAATTTTGAGAAATGAAACCTTATCAGCACTCATACGCAGTGGTGTGCCATTATGCCTTCTATGGTAATAATAAAATTATAATCAGGCATGCTCTAGAATTCGAATCCGCATAAAAAAATTCGATTTCAATTTAAATTCACATTTTGGTGCTCTGCTTTTATCGATTCATTTGCGATTTCACAAATGAAATCGAATGAATTTGCTGGCTCTAGAAACCGAATCTGCATAAAAACATGTGATTAAAAACACTTATCGAAATAGTTGTGAAATTAAAAGTAGTGAAAATAACATGTAAGTATAATTACATTTTTTTTGTGTTAAATCAGTTTCAAGTTATGTAAATAAAGAAAATAATAATTTTGATATTTTATTTTGAAGGGGTAAACACAAGAACACTGTACAAGATGGAATCTTGCTAGGATTTATGGAGTTGCATAAGGAAATTGCAACTGGCTTTGTCAAAGGCGACAAAGTGGTCACGGACCAACTATGGGCAGAACTAACAGGAGAGCTAAACAGCCATGGTCCACCTAGCAAAGATATCCAGGGATGGAAAAAGGTAAATTGGATTTTTTTTTTATTCGTTAGCATGATAACTTTTTATTCATGGTAATACAATTATAGGTGTGGCTCGACTGGAAGGCGACTGTTCGTAAAAAGATTGCGCACAATAATTCAGAAGCACGGGCGACTGGCGGTGGACCATTCAACAAATATGTTCTTACCGCAGCCGAAAAAGCAATTGGACGGCTATGTGGCATTTTTAAAGTGGTCCGTGGTATTGAGAACACGGTTGAGTTTGGTCAACTGTGCTCAAATGGCGAGGATGTGTCTTCCGATGAGTTGTGCCTATCTTATATTGCTACCACTACCATTGGTGCCATTACTGCTGATACTATTGGTCCCACTACTGCTGATACTATTGGTGGCACTAATGCTGCTGCTATTGGTACCACTACTGCTGATGCTATTGGTACCACTACTGCTGATACTATTGGTACCACTACTGCTGATGCTATTGGTACCACTACTGCTGATGCTATTGGTACCACTACTGCTGATGCTATTGGTACCACTACTGCTGATGCTATTGGTGGCACTAATGCTGCTGCTATTGGTAGCACTAATGCTGCTGCTAGCAGAAAACGCCGTCGGGAACCAACGTGGCAAGAATCAGTAAAAAAACATATTGTGGAGCAGAAACAGACTATAAAAAATATAGAGCAACATTTGAAAAAAATTGACGAAGTGTTTGAAAATTTTGCCGAAGAAACTAAAAGAAATAATTTAAAGATGGAAGAGCTTCTCAAGGAGAAGCTGGATCTCAAAAGGAAAAAGTTGGAGTTAGAAGAAAAGAAATTTAATTTAGCGAAAGCTAATCGACGCTAATTTTTTTTTGTAATTATAAGCTCCAATAAAGATTAAATATTTTAAGAATTTATTCATTTTTGATTATTTTGTTTAAATAAAAATTTTCCTTATATACTACTAACGCAAGCTATTAGCAATGTCATCTCTTATTGTATTTGCTTCTCTACTAGCCGATATTTCACTTAGTTCCTCTTCATCTTCATTAGCAAAGTGAACGTCTTCGACATCCTGTACCTTGTAGTATCTACAAATATTATGTAGCGCACAGCATACATTAATCATTTCACGTTAAATTTATGCTCCTGCGTTCCAGGCTGCGGATCTCTGTATGGCGTTAGCAAAAATGGCTGAAGGGAGTAGTCAGCATCTCCTAAAAGCCAACTTCCACTTTCACCGCTCTCATAGCACTGGCAGAAGAGTAGCATATTGAAAAGAAATTTCAAAAAGAACTTGAAAGTCCTTACTATCATGGCGTTAATGCTGAAATAGCCTTTGCTATTATAAAAAAGGTGGTGGTCACGATGAGGCTTTGTCATTCTTATATGTGTTCCGTCCACACAACCTACCACACCCGGAATCCCGAATTTTTGCATAAAGTGGCGCTTAGACGCACTCCGCTCAGCGTCCGACATTTCTAATTTTATCCATGATGGGCAGATGCGCCTTTCCAAAATAGCGATAACATTTGTCAAAATTTTTCCAACAGTGCTCCTACCCAAAGCTATTTGCTTGTCGATGCCTACCGCTTTTTGAAAGCCCCCTTCCGCTAAAAAACGCAATGTGCAGGCCAACTGAATAGAACTTGGTATGGATGATAACTTAACGTGCGGTGTTACGACTTTTACCAGCATGCAAAAAGCATCGTTGTTCACCCTGTAATAATTTATAAAGCTAAAAGTATTCGTTATTTTTCGTTGTTTTATCCAGTATGAATTAGCCACTTACGTCGACTCATTCAAATCTAACGGATTGCTGCAATCTCTTAAAATCCGTCTTTTTATTTTTTCATTTGTGTGACTATTATTTTCAGCTGCCACCAATGCTAACATTCCGAACATTTTATAAAAACTGTTTTTTTTTTATTTTACTTATTAAAATTTAAAAATTTCACTTAAGAACGTTGAATATTTTTCAAAACGGCAAAAATATATTTCACAACTTGTTAAAATAGTCAACAAACAGCTGTTTAAATTCATTTTATTCATTTTGAGTTCATTTTGAAACCGCATGAAAATATTCGATTTCTGGAACACCCAAAACGGGTTCATTCCGTTTCAAATTGAATTTCGATTTGAAATGAAGTCGAAATTCAGAGCATGCCTGAATAAGTGACAAATATGTCTATGAAAGTCATTTATGCTGTTTTTTATTAAAGTCACGACCATTTTTATTTATCAGTTGTAGGCCAAAAATATTTTCGTTTATATTAACACATATGTATTAAATATTACGGTAAACATAAGCTATTTGACTATTATATGTTTCATTTAGTCAACAAAATGTTTAATTTAATAACAATAAACTTATTTACACACTAAAATTATAGCAACGCATCATTTTATGTCTCATAATGCAGGCGTTACTTATATATTATCTTTTGCTATTTGCGCTGGAACTGCACTTTTTAATGTCGCCATCATATTTCACATATTTTTGCATGAATATTTGTCTTTATATACGAGTATAGTATATCAGATCGACATAATATGAGACGGAAACAGATGATGACGCAAAAAATAGAACATAAATCGTTTTAAATATTCTCGACTATAAAATGGCAAAAGCCAAACCGAGTAGAGTCAAAGTATCGCAGGATTTGATGGCAGATTGCCAAATGTGAAAATATTAAAATTTAATGCGGATGCATGAGTTTTTTTTCATTTCCCTTCCCGGTGGCATATGTTGGTTTGTAAAAAAATACAACACTTTTTCTATCTTGTTACGTTAGCTTTATTTTTACTTGTCACTTTTATTTCCGCTATAATATTTATATTAAATGTTTCACTAATGCTTTAAGAGCTAAAATTGTGAATTCAATATATAGAACTCAGAATAAATTCAGTCATCAGGGATTTACGAAATATTTTGGCTATAGTTGTTTTCAATGATTAAACTAATTTTTAAAATATTGTGATAGAATATAATTTTGCTTCTTTACAGAAGTTTACTTAATAAATTGCAAACACAAATCTATATGTAAAAAAAACTTTTATGTACAGACTTAACAAAATATATCTCAAAGGAAATTTCATTTTAGGCAACAGTATAGAAACCTATAAAGAAAATAATTTATTCGCGTAGTTTGAGTTTTTCATCCAAGCAAGAATTTTTGTATGATTTTTTGTATGTACTCAAGGTACAAAACTAAAATTGCTAAGGGCTACCTTGACGAACAAATGGCATTTGTTACAGGCACTTCGCAATATATAACTTGCCGAAATCTGAAACTGAACAATTTTAGATTTTGTTTAATATTTTAAAAAATTTTTCCTTAGCTTTGAACTTAGCTTCCTAACGTTAAATTTACTTGCTTCAGGAAAATTCAACTATTTTAGTGGACTATGACATTGGTTGTTGGTTTAGCAGTTTATATTCTAAACATTGACACACAACATGACCTGTAGAAACTGACGAAAAATGCCACTTCCTTAGACCTTCGAACTACAAAAATATTTTCATAATATTATATAATGAACATTTTTTGCAGAAATACGAACATAGAATATGACGTTATTTTAAAAAACAGATTTTAACATTAAAAAACTGAAAATATCTTTGAAAAGAGCTATAAAGGAAAGTCTACAATAGGTTTATTTATACAGTAATGTATTTATATGAAAATATTATTATAAGTAATATAAATAGTCATGCTACTTGTCTGTGCCAACAAAATACTTGTCTGTTCTGGTCCCTTTTATTTGGTAGATCATTTAAAAAGATCAATAGAAGCAGAACACAAGCTTAACATTGAATTTTTACCCAATTCATCAATTGTTTAAGGTCATGCTTCATGAAAAATGTGACCGTACTGGGTTTCAAAAATTAAAATTGATGCTTTTTGGTCTACATAGACCATAGACTTAAAATACCCAACAAAAAATGGTACAGTGGCATTAGATCACGCTACTTGGCTTGGGTGGCCACATGTTATCATTTAGAATATGAAGGTATATAACATCATCCTATTAAAATAAATAGCCATCCAGATCACTTTAACTTACTTTTGATTATTGATATCGATCGTCATTGATGCTTATGTAGGCATTTTTTTCGTTATTTGAAAAAAATATGGACCAAGCATTCGACAGCCCATATACCATACCACTGTGCCACCGTAAAAACAATTCGTTTATACTGGTGGCAACATTTTTTTCGAAAAAAATTGGATTGTTTTCTTTGTCGATTAACTAACTGATTTATAAGTATATATTACGGCTCAAAAAATTTTAATTTCAAAATCTTATTGCACAAAATCTGCCACAGTGTTAATAAATAGACACCAATTTCATGTGAATGATGTCACATCAATACACTAGGGTTTCATTGACAGTAATCTTAAAGATGACAGTAAAAATAAAGGCATGCAATAAAAATAAATTAAAATAAAAAAAACCTTTTCGTACCTTATTATATTTAAAATGTAAAGTATACATAAAGAAACCTCTTAGTGACAAATAGCCATTAAAAAGTTCCAATTAGAAGCACATACAAATCAAATGAAAAAACTCCTCCCTAACTGATTTTTATAGATAATTTTTAATATTCAAATCAATAAACAGTCTTCACACGTTAATTGAGACATAACTGCAGGACACATGACCTTAATTCCTTAAACTTATAAAACCATTTCGAAGGTTTCATAGAAGACAGAATGTGTTTAGTCTTACCGATGGAAATTTCCATATGAGTACTTAAAGCTTTATTGAAGTCTCAAACTGAATTTTGCTTTTAGCTGGTTAACAACAAAAAAAAAGTTCATCTTAATTTTTAAAAGTTCTTATTTCGTGTCCACATAATTTAGGAAACCCTAATATATTTTATATAGTATATAAGATACTCTAACAGCATGCTTATCAAATAACCGGATTAGTCACATTACCCTAGACGCTAAACAACTGTCATTAACATATTTGTCAAATACTTTTACGGTTAAGAAAAATATTCCAATATATTAAAATATTCCATAATACTCCGTTAGATGAATTCGTCAACAAGGTTTGTGCTGTCCCGAAAATTATAAACAAAGTAGGTGTTGAACACATAGTAATATTTAACGTAGTCTAAACATTAGCTATTGTTTTCACGCTTAGATTTAATGTATTGAAATGCAAATAAAGCGGGTTCTTTTAAATTTTATCACCTTGTAAAGGCCCTCCTAAGAGAAGATGAATAATTGCACTCATACCATTTAAGAAAATCTCTAGTTTACCGAAAAATATATCATGGAAAAATGAAAACGCAATTAACATTGATGAAAATTCAAAAAATGTGATACAACAAAATAAAACACAATTTGATTGTACTTTAAATTGTTAACTTAAAATTCTCATCTTGTATAATTATATTTGACAATATAATATCAAAGCTATTTACCTACATATTAAAATTTTATTTTAATATAAATGATACATGGTTTAATTTTAGCTGGTTTAGTACTATCCATCACATATGTCAAAGAAAGAAAGATTTATATATAACTTACTATTGTCAGATAGTGTGGATGCATTAAGACCAGAATAGTTTCCATTCATTTACGTTTCTTTCTGATCCACTGCAATTGAATTTTTTCTATTTCTAATTTTGTATGTAAAGCCATCTAACAAAAAAGTAAATTTACTTGTACATTTATTGGAAAGTATATATAAGTTGTATGAACTTAGCTGTAAAGAAATTTTAAACAATTTAAATTTATTTCTTAAATAACTTAAATTCTAACTAATAAGTAAAAAATGAAATGTATACTAATTATGTTTATATATTTATATATATAAATTCTAAAATTTTTTTTAAATTTATGG